GCGGTGGAGCTGGGATTCAAACCCAGGCAGTCTGGATCTCATTATTTTCTCAATGTAAACTCCTAAAATTAAAATTGAGAGAACCAAAGGGAATATCTTATATAGGTACAGTGTACATACTATATGTTGTCTAGAAATGATGCACTGATTTATACTCAGCATATTACTATTCCCTTTTCTCCACTGAGAATGAATCTAAGATTAAAAAGTGTGCCTACTCATTTTCAGTTTTTTCTTATAAAAGTTATGTTCATTATAAAAATTAAAATACCACTTAAAAATTATTTTCATCATTCAAGTGACCACTATGTATTTTATATTCTTTCAAATTTCCTTCCTGTGTAACTGAACACACCTATACAGCTATGCATATTTCCTAGAATACTGGCAAAAATAATTTTAAAATTAAGGCTTTTCATTTATATTGCTGAATTTTGTGGTGGGGAATTATTAAGCCAGTATATGCTACACAGTAGGGGTACTTATTTTTTCCCAGCTTCTCTGGTACTATATCTATATAAGTATGTCTTTATTTGGTGAAAATGGCATCTCCTCATAGTCTCAATCTACATCTTCCTAAATATATATTTAGTAGTCATCTGTACATCTACCTTTGCATATGTTTTTACATTTCTTTTTGCTTTTGAATTTCATTTCTGGTGTCTTGGGGCATGCAGAAAGATTGAGCCTTTTTATAAAAAATTCATCACTTGATTTTTTTGCCTTCATTGTTTTCATTTGTTTTTTGGTTTAGAAATATAGTTCTCATCCATATTATTTTAAAAAAGCATCTAGGGGGACCTCCCTTGTGGTCCAGTGATAAAGAATTCACCTTCCAATGCAGGGCACGCAGGTTCGATCCCTAGTCGGGGAATTAAGATCCCACATGCCGTGGGGCAACTAAGCCCGCGCACTGCAATGAAGAGCCCGTGTGCCGCAACTAAGACCTGATACAGCCAAAAAAAAAAAAAAAACCATCTATATTTTATTTTAGTAATTTTATGACTTCTTTTCTTCTACATTAAAATCTATAATCCATTTGAATTTTATTTTAGCATGTGGTATGAGATAGACATCTAATAATTTTCATTATTTTTCTCCTCTTCGTATATTTTCCGGCTTGAAAATATTTTTTTCTGTATATTTGGATTCTTTTCTTAGGATGTATCACTAGAAGTTAAATTTCTGGGTAAAGATCAGACGCTCAGCTTTGAATATGTTAGGTTTGAGATGTCCACTGGACATTCAAGTAAGGAAGTTGAGGAGGCAGATGGAAATAATGAATTAGCTATTCTTGGTCATTCATCCTTCCAGATGAACTATACATGCATTTTCTAGAGTTTGCCACAAAAAACTTTGTGAAATTCAGATTGCAGTAACTTTAAAATTTAACGTTAAAAGCCTCAAATAGGTGTTTATTAAGTAAAGATATACACTATCTATCTGTCTGCCATATGTTAGTCTCAGTGGAGTGTTAGGAAGTCATTAATCATGCGTATGCATTATTTCTAGCATATGTATGAATATGAATATATATGTATACACATATATACATTCACCTACATATATATGAATGACACAGGAATAGAAAGACCAAAATGTTAACAGTATTATCTCTAAGTAGTGGAAAATGGTTTTTTTCCACCTTTGGTCATGGCCATGATATTTAGTCTCTGTAAAAATATGTATTACTTTTTCATTCAGAGACAAACACTCTATCCCAAGTAATGTTATTTTTGAAAATCAATAAAAATATATTTAGAGGAAAAAAAAGATGAAGAACAGATTTTTCTTAGGCTCCTTGCAGTTTTTTAATTTTATCATTTTGATGTATCATGGAAAACAGCAGTTCAACATTTGGAAAAGCCTTCATAAGTGGTTAACATCCTAAATAAATACTACGTAAAACAGGTATTTTCAACCCTTAAAATGACAAAAAACCCTAAATATTTGGCAATAAAAATGAAATAAATGGCATAATCAAAAACAGTGACAAAATACTGGAGGAACTTAGTAGGTCACCAGTACACTTTAAATTTCATAGAAGAAATGGACCACTGTACCTCTGTTGAGTGCTCCATATTCTGTATGGAAAACTCCAATTAGTTTTGAGTAGCCTAGATCGACATGGGCATTAACTGCTCTTTTAAATGCGTCACCCCACAGAGCTGGCCCACCAGGTTTCATCTGAAAAGTTACCAGCTCGTAGACTCCTGGAATAGGGAGAAAATAAATTACAAAAGATATTCAAGAAATTTCTCATCAGGTTAGCATGGTTCCAGTGGAAGGCTAGTCTACATATACAGATTTGGAGGGTCAAACATAAAAATGTTTATGTACACATACTTATGAATTCTTTGCATTTCTTGCATTTTTCCTAGCTTTTATATTTAGAAAGTCTCCATGTTTAAGGGTGAGTTATTAAGCTTATCATAGAGAACAAAGAAAAAGGAAGCTATATTAAGCTATTATCAGAACGATTTTTAATCTATAAAATTAGTCATTTAAACAAATATTGACAATTTATGACAGGATTAGGATTTTTGAGCTGCCTGAGTCCAATTCTAGTTAAGAAATGAATAAGAAAAGTATTTTCTGATCTCATATATTTCCTTCTTTCCAATTCTGAGAGGAAACACTTTTTTGTTTGTATAATTTCCCCCCACAGGTTTCCATTTCTAACAGGAACAGCCAGCAAACAAAGGACCCGAAGTGATATGTGAGATTTTGACAGGAAAAAAGATGAAGAAGGTGGTTTTATTGTTCCTAAATATCCAGGTAAACACTTGAAAATCAGTTTACCTCTGGTCAGAAGTATGGAGCAGGTAGAAAAAAAGAAACTAGGGAACAAGTAGATTTCAGAAGTAAAAGGTAAAAAAGTACAAAGCAACTAAAGAATTATAAACAACATAGAGGCAGATAACCAAGATGTGACACTGTTCTAGGAGCCACTAAGTTCATGTAGCCAGTGCTGAAGGCTGAGGGGAGGTCCAGGTAGATAGGATCCAAATAAGACATTTCAAGTCTCTTGTCATCTAAGATACACTACGAAGTTGGGATTATGGGGGAAAGAAAAATTAGTTAATGCTTTTAAAAAGTCTGCCTTTTGTTTAAAATTAGGTTGAGGTAAATATTTCCCTTAAGTCAGTAAGAAAGTGAAATCAGCAAGAAGATAAATCTTTAATAATTATTTTCAAACTGAGGAATAAGAGGAAAACAAGTTAAACCACAGTAATTCAGCTTAACAGTTTAAATTAATCCATCCCCCCCAGTTTTACAAGCAAAGATACACTTGTTTTTAGATTAACTGTAATTTGTATAAAAAAATACTAAGTTATGAGAAAATATCATACATTTCCCTTTACCTACCTATACATGTGTTCTGTGTTCTAGATCCCCAACTTCTCAACCTTTCTTCCCATGTAAACTTTTCATATTCATACCTAAATTCATTATTTAATGCTCATCGTTTTAATTGTAAGCAAAGAGCTCAAATTCATCTTTATCTCTATAATCACAATATATTCCAATATAAAAACAAAGGATTACTTTTTCCTACGGAACTTTAGTTTTTATAGCTTAAAATCTTCAGTATGTTCTTCATTAAAATTCAGTGTAATTTGGAGAGGCGAGCTTACCTTCTTTGGGTGGTTTTTCTAATTTGCACCATGGCACCAGATAAGTAATTTCACTCTCTTGTTTATCAGTAAGACCCATAATTGGAATGAGTAATTGTTCTCGCCATTCCTTATCATTGGCCAAGGCTTTCCGAACTTCAGTTTGATGAGCAAAATTGTCTATGGGAATAACAGGAGTAAGAAAAATAAAACTTTTTGATTTAAAATCACCTGTACACCTTTAATATATATAATATTGTATATCAACTATACATCAATAAAAAAATCACCTGTACTATTTCTGGGTTTCATTCAATTTAGCAAATGTTTATTGAGGCCACATAAGGATAATATGTTATATCACTAGAGATACCAACATAAGTAGTTAGTTGCTCATGGTCTAAAAGGGGAGTGGCAATGTAAACAACCAATGATGTCATATAGTAATGGGCTTCATAGGTGCTACCATTTAGTAGGTAGTTGTGAGACTTAGGTAAGTTATTGAATCATTCTGTGCCTGTCTCTTATTCTGTGAAATAGGGATAATGATACAGGATCTACCTCCAGGGCTGTTGTGAGGATTAAAAGAATTGGTACATGAAAGGAGCTTAGAACAATGTTTGGCACCAAATGAGTACTCCATATATATTATTTATTCTTATTACTTGAGGCATTTAAGTTATAGTGTTAGTTTAGAGAAAGACTGTTTCTTCAGTAGTGCTGGTGGTGGGTAGTCAGGTCAAGGTACAACTGAATTAAATTTAACATAAATGAAATTAAGATTTGCTTTTTCAGCCTCTTTGAACAAACAGCTTCCAAAGAAACAGTGCTAATTCTTACTTATTGACACCCATTCTTTTTACCCAGTACTGTTTCTCCTGTTTGTTACCCAAACAGGTATATACATTTAATAACATACAAGCCTAGTACTATATTTATTATTAGGGCCTAAGGTTAATGGTAAAAGAGTTTTCTATGGTTTATGCTAGAGATAAGGAATAACATCTATCTTAGTGCTTAAGTAAGTTATATCACGATCTTACTAGTAATTTTCTTAATGGGACATAATTCTCCTTGTTGCACATTAAAGCATAAATTGTGTTTTAATGGGGTTTGTCCTATTACAACAGGGAAATCCTCTAAACTATGGCCATGTTAAATATAGAATGAGCACTTTTCACAATAAAGTATGTGATGAATATTAACTCTGGACACTATTATGACTCTTAACTTGATGACCAGACACCAAATGAAATTATTAAAAGTTCTCTGGCTATCATCAAGTCCTGTGTGGACTTCGGAAAGATTAGACACTGGAGTAACAATCTGGGGATTCCTGTAACCTGTTCTTCGTTGTCTACTAAACCAGCAGTAAGTCAACTTCAATATGGGGAGAATTCTAATTCCTTTGCCTTTACTTCCCTAGAGCAGCATAATGATAGTGAATTCCTTGAAACCTTGGGGTATACAAACAAAAGTGGTTCCCTAAATTTAACAAATTATTCAATCTGAGTTGGGTGAGGCCTGGAAGTTAACTATTATCCCCATGAACCTCAACTAACCTAAATTAGAAATACTGAATTGTTTCTACTAAAATCCTGATATCCAGTTGCAGATTCAACAATAAGAAAAAATAACTCTCCCTTTTATGATCTCTACCCACTTGGGCTCTTGCAGTCAATGCTTAAAATTTTTCATAAATGCTCTATACAGTAAACCATTCTATGTTCTTTCTGAGCGTTAAAGGCTAGTTCACAATTTCATGATTTGAAATATGAGATGTCACACTTTCCCAATGATGATACATAGGAATTTGGGCAAAAGTTGTTAGGGGTACCAGTGGGAGGAGTAATCACTGAATTCATTTTTTGTTGTTGTATTTGTTGTTCCTGTCTTTAAAAGTTGAATTTAACCTGCGTGTATTTATAGTAACATAGACCCAAGAGGTAAGTGTCATGTAACATTTAAAAGAGTGAAAATCTATACTGAATACTTAAGCTGGAAAAATCATACCATACTTCCAAATATGAAACACTTTATCGATCCTGCCTCCAAGTTCTACACTCCAGAATCCAACCAATTCAGAGTGAGCTGTCTGAAGATGTATGTTTTTCTTAACATTTTCCAGAAACTCATTCATCTTTGAAGGTTTAACGCAATAAGTACGAAACTCATAGAATGTTCCATCGTATTGTCTGGGGCCTGTAGCAAAAGATGAACACACCTGAAGAAACATAAGGCAAATTTAAGTATTTGGGGAACTTAAGGCTTATAATATCATGTTACAACCAAATCTGAATCTGCAAAGAAGGGACACTCATTAGACTCATACTCCATGTTTGTACCTCTGTTGTCATCTCTCCTTAGAATTTGCTGAGAGATGTTAATAAAGATAAGTACTCTTAAGTGTGCTGAATATACAGCTACTGCTTCCTAGCAGGGGTCCCTTAGCCACCTTTTCATGAAAAGTTAATCTTAAGAAGGCACTAGGGTCTTAATGAGAGTCCTTTATCCAAGAACTACAACTAGGGTTCTAATTAATTACAAATGGTTTACCTTATTTATCCAATATTCTATCTTTAGTCAATACTATATGTGTTACAGTTATATATTTAAATGAACTTTATAAAATATACAGGTGTTCTGGCAGTAATGATGGAAATACGTTTACTTGCAGAAAGATCTTTAGGTTTTTTTTAAAAATGTAAGTTTCAATTCAGGTCAAAGTATTTTCCAAATTCAATGAAGTACATCACTGGTAAAAGAACTGGAATGTAACTAATGTTAAAGGGAATCCATAATCTATTAAATTGCACATGCTGGTAGACTGTATGAATTCTATAAAGGAAAAATCAACAGGTCAGAACTGTCTGAATCATTATTAGGTTTAATTATAGATGCAGTGTGAAGGGCATTTAATCCATCCAATTATACTAGGTTGATGGAAATATCCTTTAAGAACCATTAGTTCTTTTTGTATTAGAGGTATGGTCACTATATAAATTTTTGCTGTGTTTAATCTTCTGAGTCTTAGTGAACTTAACTTTAGGTAGGAAATTACCTGCCAGAAATTATCCCGTGAATGTAAATGTATGTGTATGTAAATACGTATATGCACACGTGTATACACACACTCATATGGCATTTGTGTTTACGATTTCATGTTATTGTAGTTTTGGATATCATGTGCCAATTCCTGAAGCTGGTTAATCAGAATTATCTAATACAAATGTTGGTACAAACATAGCTATGGACAAATTTCGGGCTCGGGCTTACGTTGACCAGCTGGTATGTCAAATGAAACCAGTAGGCTCCTTTCTCTG